GGGCAGCACGTGGACATGGTGAGCGTTAGGGAGGGGTGGCGGCTATGGAAGCCCGAGAGATCCCATCTGGAGGGAGCAGCTTCCGTGCCTGGGGGGACGCAGGCCCATGTTGCTGAAGCTGCTGCCTTTTTTTTTTTTTTTTTTTTTTTTTTTTAATATATTTCATTGATTTTTTTCAGAGAGGAAGGGAGAGGAATAGAGAGTTAGAAACATCAATGAGAGAGAAACATCGATCAGCTGCCTCTTGCACACCCCCTACTGGGGATGTGCCCACAACCAAGGTACATGCCCTTGACCGGAATCAAACCTGGGACCTTTCAGTCCGCAGGCCGACGCTCTACCACTGAGCCAAACCAGTTTCACCTCTTTTTTTTTTTTTTTAATTTCTTTATTTATTACGGCATTACATATGTGTTCTTATTCCCCCATTACCTCCCCTAACTCCCCACCCCCCATGCCCTCACCTCCCTGTTGTCTGTGTCCATTGGTTAGGCTTACATGCATGCACACAAGACCTTTGGATGATCTCTCCCCCTTACCCCCACCCTCCCCTACCTTCCCTCTGAGGTTTAATGGTCTGATCGATGTTTCTCTGTCTCTGGATCTATTTTTGGTCATCAGTTTATGTTGTTCATTATATTTCATAAATGAGTGAGATCATGTGATATATATCTTTCTCTGCCTGGCTTATTTCACTTAGCATAATGCTCTCCAGCTCCATCCATGCTGTTGCAAATGGTAAGAACTCCTTTTTTACCACAGCGTAGTATTCCGTTGTGTAGATGTACCATAGTTACCTAATCCACTCTGCTGATGGGCACTTAGGCTGTTTCCAAATCTTAGCTATGGTGAGTTGTGCTGCTATGAACATAGGGGTGCATATGTCCTTTCTGATTCGTGTTTCCAGTTTCTTGGGATATATTGAATCTGCTGTTCATCCAGGCTTCACCGCTGCAGCATTTGTTAAAGTTGTATTTACGTGCTTTGCTGTGGAATAGATTTGGATTTCCGGGAAAGTTGCCGAGGCAGTACAGAGAGTTCCCACACCCCTCACCCAGTGCTGCCCTGTTAACATCCTACATCGCCCCGCACCTCCGCCGAAATTAAAAAACCCAGCCTGGGCGGATGCTGCCTCTCCACGCCACACTCATCTCTGTTTCCCGTTGCCTCGCTCCTGTTCCAGGCCCGTCCCCTTAGCCTCCGCAGTCTCCGAGTTCCTTTCCTGCTTTCTGTGACGTTGCAGTTCGAGGAGTACCTACCAGGAATTTGTAGACCAAGCATGTCAAACTCAAAGGCTAACACGGGCCAAATAAACAAGGTTTATGTGTATGTGGGCTGCAAAAAAAGCCCAAAAGCTTCAATTTCCACAGAAACGCAGGTTTATTTCAATAGAGACATGCTGAATACCTAGGGCTGAAATAAATGAGAAATTGTTACCATAAAATAATAGAACATTGTAATAAATATTAATATTTTTTCTTGAGAACTAATTTACCAGACACTGAATATCTGCACAGATTAATAAGCATAATGCAAATAAAACCTATTTTTCTTGTTCTCCGAAAGTGACAGATTTTCTGTGTGCACATCAGACGAGTCAGTCCAAGACTAATGACGTGGCCATTGGCTGCTAAAATAATCGCTGCCGCCGAAACCGGTTTGGCTCAGTGGATAGAGCGTCGGCCTGCTGACTGAAGGGTCCCAGATTCGATTCTGGCCAAGGGTATGTACCTTGGTTGCAGGCACATCCCCAGTGGGGGGTGTGCAGGAGGCAGCTGGCCGATGTTTCTCTCTCATCGATGTTTCTAACTCTCTATCCCTCTCTCTTCCTCTCTGTAAAAAAAAATCAATACATTGTATTTAAAAAATAATTAATTAAATAAATAAAATATTCACTGCTGGTATTAGTGGAGAGAAATGCGTAAGGGAAATGAATGCAACACGATTATAGTCATCAGTCATTAGCGAAGGTTGTAGTTTGTTATTAATAATTATGTATCAGAGGATATTGTAAAAATTAAGTTACGAAATTTTTAGTGAAACGTTTCTTACAGACTGTTATAGTGGCTGGGCCGCAAAAATATTGGTTGTGGGCTGCACATGGCCCATGGGCTGTGAGTCTGCTTGTGTAGATGGTCCATCGTGTGGGTTTGTCTGGCGTTCCTCTTGTGGTCACACGGGTGATGGGTTTCCGGCGAGAACGCCGCCGAGGTGAGGCGCCTCTCATCACGACATCTCTGGGCATCACGGGGTCACCCAAGGACGTCACGGGGGCTCGTCTTGGCCAGGTTTCTCCACCGCAACGTTCCACGCCCCCCTCATCATTTGCTCCCATCAGGCTCACTTGTGTGCATCGATCTGACACGTGGGGTGCGAGTCCAGTTCACGCTGGTGACTGTTGTGCAGGTGGCTCCAGCTTCAGCGACACCGCTCTGCCGGGCTGGCTGTGTGAACCTCTGGCCGGTGCCATCCCTCCGTGGAAGCACCTCCCTCCCGCCTGCCCCGGGCGATGCTCCGGGCTCTCCCAGCCCTGGGATCGGCCCTTTCTCCTGGATCCCCATTTGAATTTTAATGTCGGAAATCAAGTCAAATTTAAAAATGAAAACACTTGGTGAGCTGAGTCAGGGTTCACGCTTAGACATGAAGATCTCGTTGAATGCCCAGAACGTTCTTTCCAGAGAAGCACCCATAAGCTCCCCGTTTTACAGGTGAGGAACAGGCCGGCAGCCTGCGCCAGACCCACCCTCTCCCACCCTCCAGGACGCTCCTCAGCCTCCCGGGGTCAGAGTGAGGTGGGACTTACACTGGGCAGCGGGTGTGGCACTAGCTGCCAGGGGTGGCAGGGCCGTGCCCAAAGGAGGGGCCGGGACAGGCGTGTGGTTTAGACGCCGGGCCATGGGATGGCTGCCAGGAACCCGGGCATGCTGAGGTGGTGGGAACAGACTTTCAGGAGAACCACAGAGGTCGCATGTACTTGGGCAGAAAGAGGAGGAAACACAGGTACAGTTTTTTTAAAAAATACTTTTTTATTGATTTTTTTTTTTTTTTTTTTTTTTACAGAGAGGAAAGGAGAGGGATAGAGAGTTAGAAACATCGATGAGAGAGAAACATCGATCAGCTGCCTCCTGCACACCTCCTACTGGGGATGTGCCTGCAACCAAGGTGCATGCCCTTGACCGGAATCAAACCTGGGACCCTTCAGGCCTACGCTATATCCACTGAGCCAAACCGGTCAGGGCACAGGTACAGTTTTTAAAAACAGGCTTAAAATTAAAACTTTATCCTGAGTTACTTATCTGTTTGTGCCTAACAATAATGCCAAACTCAGTGCCCGCAGCCATCCATCCCCACTTGGGAGCGTGCGGGTCAGGGGTCTGGGTGCAGCCCCGCTGGCCGGCGGCTCCGTCTCCGGCTGCAGTCCCCGCTGGGCCGGGCCACGGCCACCTCGGGCTCCAGTGGGGCAGGCCTGCGTCCAGGCAGCCCGGCGGCTCTGGGCAGGGCTAGCTCCTCGTTGGCAGTTGGCCGAGGCCCTCAGTTCCCAGCCACGTGGGCCTCTCCAGCATGGCAGCTTGCTTCCTCCGAGCCAGCAGCCGAGAGGGCAAGTGAGACAGAAGAGGGGGGAGAGATCAGGCGTGAACCAGCCAGCAACAGAGACCACCAGCCAGGAGGAGGGACAGTCTTCTGTGCAGGAGGCTCCGAATGACATCTCCCGTTCTGGCCGACTCCTATTTTGTGGTGAGGCAAAGTGTCTCCCTAGGCCCAGCCCACGACAGGGGGAGGGGATCACCCAGGGCAGAATAGCAGGAGGCGGGGTCACTGAAGACTTCAGACAGCTGCCTGCCCCGCCATGCAAACACTGCTAACCGGCTGTCCTCACAGCATTCCCCGGAAGCAAAGGAGGACGGAGAGGGCGGTGGCTTGCCCAGGGTCACACAGCTCCTGGAGGGGAGAGCTAGATTCAAACTCCACTCTGAGTCCCAAGTGCGGCTCCTGTGTGCCCATGGGTGTTTCTCTGGCTGTCCCTGGGCCCCCACTCCAGTGTAGCCTTGGAGCCTGGCCGAAAACAGATCCCCAGACAAACCGGTCCACAACCCACCCGGAGGGGCCGGGAACAGCACTGGCTGGCTTCCCGCAGGGGGTTCGGACGCTCCCTGGCACCTGAGAGCGGTGTGGTACTCCCCTCTGCACGGCAAGGACACGACACCACGGAAATGGATTTCCCGCTCCCACCAGGGCTGGCCTCGGTGCGTCCGGCTCTGAAGGAAAACGGAGGCTGAAGGGTCCAGTGTCAGGGGTCCAAGCCGAAGAGATTGAACGTCAGTGAGAAGCCCGGGAAGTGCCAGTGTCTGCGAGTGGGAAGCTCCCTGATGAGTCGTGCTTTTCATTAACGTCGTTGATGCTAATGATGAACCCATTAGTATTATTAATCCCAGGGCAGGGAAAGCGAGCCTCCCCGCGCACTCAGCTAAGGGGTTCGATTCTTCCCCTTTGCTCCTTTTGTGCTTTAGAAAAGGAAGGCCTGGCCAGGTAACCCGATGGTTAGAGCTCAATGTTGCGGGTTCACTCTCCGATCAGGGCACACACAAGAAGCAACCAAAGAATGAATACATAAGTGGAACAACGAACGGTTGTTTCTCTCTCTCTCTCTCTCTCTCTCTCTCTCTCTCTCTCTCTCTCTCTCTCAAATCAATCCCTCAATAAATTGATTAGATTAAAAAGAAAACGAAGATACTTGTTTGGGATTGGTGGTGCTGGTTGTTTGGGGGGGACGATGATTGATTTTCAGTTCAGTACCTAACACCTGGGCGGGCCTGCGTCCCGAGACGCAGTGGTGTGGGTCCCCGGCTGGGATCTGGGTTGAGCCGGGGCCTGCCCCAGGGCAGATGCCACTCAGGGTCTCGGCCATCAGTGAGGTCTCTGCTGTCCCTGGAGGCCCCGGAGGCAGGCGGAGGCCGTGGGGACGGGACCGAGGGCCTCATGCGCCGTTTTGATCCTTGCAGATCAGGAGCGACACTTCGCAGATCTTGGAGGAAAACATCCCTCTCCTTCAGGCCAAGGTGGCGGACATGCTGGCGTCTGCGCCCGAGTGGACCAGCTGGGGTGAGTCCGGAAAAAGGCGCCTTTTCTGTGAGACCCGGGGACTTGTTCGGGCTCTTTCGTCTTGTCTTCCTCTGACCTTGAGACTGTCAGGCATCAGACCTAGTGCAGGGGGCTGGGGCCTCCACTCACGTGACATCTAAAAAACACGACAAATATTAATTTTTATAAAGTATCCTATTTTAAAAATTGGGTACTTTATATGAAATCTAAAAATCTGAATGTTAAGCTGCTTTTGGAAATTCAGAAGCTTTGATAACCTGGCCCCACATTTCTTTAAATACTTTCATCTACTTATTGTTCAAGTTATCCTATCTAATAAAAGAGTAACATGCAGATAGACCATCACTGCAACACACAAGATGGCTGCCCCCATGTGGTCAAAGATCCTTCCCCTATGTGGACACAAGATGGCCACCACAAGATGGCCAACAGGGGAGGGCAGTTGGAGGGGACCAGGCCAACAGAGGAGAGAAGTTGGTGGTGACCGGACCTGCAGGGGAGGGCAGTTAGGGGTGACCAGGCCTACAGGAAAGGGCAGTTGGGGGGGACTAGGCCTGTAGGGGAGGGCAGTTAGCAGCAAACAGACTGGCAGGAGAGCAGTTAGGCATCAATCAGGCTGTCAGGGGAGTGGTTAGGGGGTGATCAGGCTGGCAGGCAGAAGCGGTTAGGGGCAATCAAGAAGTCAGACAGGTAAGCAGTTGGGAGCCAGAAGTCCTGGATTGTGAGAGGGATGTCCCAGATTGGAGAGGGTTCAGGCTGGGCTGAGGAACACTCATCCCCATGCACAAATTTCGTGCACCAGGCCTCTAGTAAATATGTAAAATGCACCCATCTAAGTATACAATTCAGCTAACTTTTAAAAAAATATATATTTTATTGATTTTTGTACAGAGAGGAAGGGAGAGAGAGAGAGAGAGAGTTAGAAACTTCAATGAGAGAGAGTTATCGATCAACTGCCTCTTGCACACCCCCTCCTGGGGATATGCCCGCAACCAAGGTACATGCCCTTGACCGGAATCGAACCTGGGGCCCTTCAGTCCCCAAGCCGCTCTATCCATTGAGCCAAACCAGTCCCGGCAGCTAACTTTTACTGAAACTCACTGGGGCCCAAATTTGAGACATGGGACATGTCCAAGCCCTGGGCTGAATTGTAGGGCTGAGGGATGTGCTCACTAATTCCCCGCAGTCCACACTATGCCCTATTGCCTCACTGCTGCCTTCTCTCCCCATCTGTTATTGTGTGGGCTGAGCTGCACACATCTCATTTCCCTCCTTGCTGTGCTGCAGAGCTGGTGCCCTCCTGTCCCACCTCCCAGGGGAGGAGCCTAAGCTCTTAGACGTAAGCCCCTTACCCAGGGTCACCAGCTAATTCCATGGAGCTGGACTCGACTTCTGTCCACTGGGCCTAAGCTCTGAATTGAGCTCCAGCCTCAGCGTGGGATCCTGGCTCCTTGCACAGAGGAGGCTGGGAGGAACTTGCAGTGTGACAGTGTCACCTGGACAGAGGGACGTGGCCCCTCGGAGCTGCAGAGGAAGGGATCCTGGCAGGCAGCTCCACGCTAGCAGGGAATTAACATTCTTGTCAGCAGAGAATGAGGCAGGAATATAATTAAAACGCTGCCCTTGGAATAGCTGATTCATTTGAATTTTATTCCACACGTTGGGAAGAGGAAAAAGAAACGTGAAGATTTGCAGCCCTGGTTCTTGCCTTGCTTGGGTCGGCCCAGCTCTCCAGTCCGATGCTTTCCTTAGCATTTGGTTCACTAACATCTGTTGCGGGCCTACTATGTGCCACTCGTCCTGAGAAAGAAAGGTACCGTCCACAGCCATATTCTAGCAGGAGAGACTTGACGACAAAGCATCACCTTAGCCGTTTCCGATTGCCACTGTCGCAAATTCCCTCACATGAGTGGCTTAAAGCATGGATCTCATCGCTCCTGAGGGCGGAAGTCCAGAATGTGTTCACAGGCTGACGCTGAGGTGTCCGCGGGTTTCTGCGGGAGGCTCGAAGCCGCCTGCATTTCTCAGCTCATGGCTCCTTCCTCCGTGTTCAGAGCCCACAGCCTAGCACCTCCCTGTCTCTCTCCTACTCAGACCTTCCCCGACCCTCTCCGGAGGAGCCTGTGATGGCAGGGGGCCTCCTGGACAAGCCAGGCCCATTGCCTCCTTTCAGGATCCTTAGTCACATCTGCACAGGTCCTTTCGCCGAGTAAGGAAACAGATGCCCCGGCTCCAGGGATGAGGATGCAGACATTTTTGGGGCGATGATTCTCCCGGCCACCATCAGCCCGGGGGACATAGAGTGAGGCAGGCGACGAGGGGAGGAACCCACCGGCCCCTGAGGGTGAGTGGAGGGAGCAGTGTGGGGAGGGGTGGGCAGGGGCACCGCCGGGACAGAAGCTCTGAGGCAGGAAGGAGATGGCACCAGAGGGAGAGGCGGGCCAGGTCACCGGCCAGGACCAGGGCAGGGCTGGGAAATGGGGCAGCATCAGCCTCGTGGTCTGGGCCTTGCAATCCAAGGTCAGGATTTGGCCTTTATCCTGAGGAACGGGAAGCCGCTGAAAAGGCAGGATTGCCTAGTGGTTAGGAGTGCAAGCTCTAGACAGCACAGCCTCAGGGCTCAGGGCTCTGGGCCATCCTGTGGGCATCAGAGGGCTCAGCAGCATCCTCGGCCTCCACCTCCGAGATGCCCTGCCCCCCAACTTCGTGTGACACCCAAATGTCTCCAGATGCTGCCAACGGCTCCTGCTGGGAACCTCTGCTGAGAGTCCTGCTACCTCTTCCCGGTGTGGCCCCAGCAAGTCCGAGCCTCATTTCCCTGGGAAACGGCATCAGCAGGGAGGCTCTTGAACCCAAAGTGATTCGGAACTTCATAGATTTGTAGGGTGCTGGCTGTGGCTACGCCGAGGTGGTGCTGGGGGTGTGGCTGGGGCGAGGCCCCGGTCCCCTGCCAGTGGCTGTGGGTGCTGGGTGAGGAGGTGGCTGGGGGTGCCTGCCAGACCCAGAGCAGACAGCGGCCTGGGGCTGTGACCCCACGCTGAGGCCTGGAAGGTGGGGAGTGAGCCCGAGAAGGAGAAAGGCCTCCCGGGCAGTTGTGGTCGGTGCAGAGCTCACGACGGAGGGTGAGGCTGGGGCGGAGGGCCCGCTGGCCAGGGAGGGCCCACGCATGGCTTTCGGACCCTGTGTGGAGGAAGCCAGGACTCGTCAGAGGGATCATAGTTACTACGCTTTGTTTTCTCTCTGACAAAGCCCAAAACAACTTTTTAAAGTGTTCCATTCAGGGGTTCTTGGTATATTTACAAGGTTGTACAATCATCACCACTATCTAATTCCAGGATGTTTTATCATCCCTGAAGGGAACACCACATCCGTTAGCAGTCATTCCCCAGCCTCTGGCAGCCACTCATCTGCTTCCCGAATCTACGGATTGGCCTGTTCTGACATTTCATAGTAATGGACTCATACAACCAACATGTGGCCTAGAGTGTCTGGCTCCTTTCACACAGCGTGTTTTCAAGGTTCATTCATGTTGAAGTGTGTGTCGGGACTCCCATCTGAATAACATTCCATCATGTGGATATAGCACAGTGTGCTTACCTTTCACCAGTCGATGGGTACTTGGTTTGTTCCCGCCTTTGGGCAATTATTAATAACTAGAGGCCGGGTGCCTGCTATCCTCGTGGGGAGCGAGCCTGAGCCGCAGTCAGACATCCTTAGTGCTGCCACGGAGGTGGGAGGGGCTCCCGCCACCACCACTGCCACTGCCCCTGCGCTTGTTGGCCGTCGGCCTGGCTTGTAGCTGAGCGATGTGCCCCCCCCACTCCAGCCCCCTGTGAGAGCACACTGACTACAACCTGGATTGAGCGTCTGCCCCCTGGTGGTCAGCGCACATCATAACGACCGGTCATTCTGCTGTTTGGTCTATTTGCATATTAGCCTTTTGTTATATAGGATGCTGTGTAAATTTTATGTGGATATGTCTTCATTTCTCCTGGGTAAATACCTAGGAGTAGAATTGCTGGATCGTATAGTAACTCATTTCAGGAATTGCCAAACTACTGTCCAACGTGGCCACAGCATTTTGCACTCCCACCGGCATTTGCTGTAAGTTTTAGATAAGAGGTTGAAAACTCAGAGGCCAATGGCATTCAGGAGCCGGCCAACCTCAAGGCCCTCTCCGCTGTTATTTCCAACAGCTGGTGCTGAAAAGCAGCTGTCCCTTCCGTGGATCTGATTCTCCCGGTTGCCACAGTCCCCACTCTGCCCAGAGCCTCCCCACCACGGAGGCTGATGGCATTTGCCTTGTGTCACCCCGCACCCCCAACACACACCTTCCTGGGCTGCTGCTTTCCTTAGAGGAGAGAGAGATTTCTCTGTAAGTGGGTGTCTGTCAAAAGGGGGGAAAACTAAGCTAGTCAGAAAGGGTCATGCATTTCGAGGCGAATGGGAGAGTATGTATTTCCCATGACGTGGTGTGTGACCTCAGAACCACACAGCTTAGGCCCCTGTGGAACCTGACATGGATTCCACAGCCTGACTCCACTCTGCCTTTTGAGTAACTCTCTTCCCTCCTTCGTCCCCTGTGAGTTGGGGCCGTGCTGTTTGTCCCTCGCAGAGTCGCCATGGGGCCAGCACTGGCACATTCAGGGGCTCAGAGAGGACAACTGTCAGTGGTCACTGCCCACAGGCTGGGAGAGGGGAAGGATGCTTGCCACTCAGCCAGCCGGCCATGGCCACGGCCACGGCCACGGCCACGAGCCCTGGGGCTCGCAGGGAGCCGGGACCACCCTGCTCTCAGCTCCGTGCGGCCCCCGGGGTGGACGGAGCTTGGGAACTGGCCCTTTCTCAGTTTCAATAATAAAACTAACGTGTACTGGGCACTTGCATTGAGCCGGGGACTCGGTGCTTTCCGAGTAAGAACTTCACCCTCCCAGCAGCCCCAGGAGGAAGGTCCCGTCCTTAGTCCCATTGCACAGAGGAAGTGGCCGAGGCACAGAGAGGGGAAGGCGTTTGCCCGCGGTCACACAGCCAGGAAGTGGTGGAGCTGGAATTGCAAAGGTGCGTGCTCCCGGCGGCTCCTCCGTGCTGGATGCTGGCACTTTCCGGGCAGGGGCCTGCTCTGAAGCGGGGGCCTTTGCCAGAAGTGTTCACATGCATTAGCACTCAATATGTTTCAAAACAATGAGGCTCTCTCTTCTTCCTTCCTTCCTCCTTCCTTCCTTCCTTCCTTCCTTCCTTCCTTCCTTCCTTCCTTCCTTCCTTCCTTCCTCTCTTCCTTCCCTTCCTCCCTCCCTCTCTCTCTCCCTCTCTCTCTCCCTCCTTCTCTTTTTCCTCCCCTCCCTCCTGATAATAAAAGTAATACATTTTAATTGTGTAGAGAAATACACAGAAGTCGCCCATACTCCATAACCCAGCCCCCAGGGTGGCCATGATTGGCTGCCACCCTCTCTGTCCCCAGCCCTGACTGGTGGATGCCTGGGTGTCTGCCCCAGTTGGCTGCGGGCTGGGGTGGCCCCGGGTTGGCCTCTCCCTGGCCCTGCTGGGCCGGGCTGCCCTCGCTGGCAGGCATTTGGGAGGCGGGTCAGACCTCGGGAGCTCGCATTCCTCAGCCAGCCTCCCTCCCCACCGGACTGGTCTTAGCGCAGGGAGCGTGAAATTGGAATCGGCTGGGAGGACTACAGGATTTCCTCTGTTTCACAACCAGATGTGCTGGCCCTGGGAGGCCTCCAAGCTGGAGGGCCGGAGCCCTGGTCCTGCCCATGGCCCCTCATCCCCACCACACACACACACACACACACACACACACGCACGCGCACACACACACTCCCTTGATGTGGCTTCCTCGGCCTTTCAGCTCTGCCTGCCAGAGCCTCAGGGAGAGCACGTCCTGGCTCACCCGGTGTCTTTCTGCGGAGGGAGCCTGGGTTCCTGCGCTCACGCAGGCGCACACTCATTCCCACGTGCCTCATTCACGCCCTCACCGTCCCGCTGAGCCCCTCCAGCTGACCAGGTTCTGGTCTCGGTCTGTGGACAGCACTGACCCAGCACGGGCCCTTTCAGACAAGAAAGGCGTTCAGAGGGCTCGGGGGCTGTTAGAGCAGGTGGTCGGGAGGTTGATCCAGGGCCAGAAAGAGGAGCGGCATTCCTCCCACCTAGAACGGAGAGAGGGCACGTGGGCACGCAGAAGCTGGTGCACAGGCCCTGCCTGGAGAGAGAGGCCTGCCTGGAGAGAGCTGTGTGACTTCGGGCAGGTGGCCCAACCTCTCTGAGCCTTGGATTCCCTTCTCTGTAAAACAGGCTAAAAAGAGGGTCCCGATGGGAGAAGGTGGAAGGACGGGATGGGGGGGAGGGGAGCCTGGACAAGCCGGGTTAGGTTGGGAGCCGCTGCTGCTGTTGTCAGGGCCCCGGGCGGCGACCTCCCAGCTCAGGCCTCCCCTCCCAGGAGCCCGCTGTGGCAGGGACTGGGGGCCTCCCCTGGCCGGGGACGCAGCCAGGACTGTCCCAGCTGGGACAGAGGTGGCATCCCGCGCTCTCCTCCCCGCCAGGCCTTCGTTAAGATGGTGGGACGCAGCGTCTCCATGTGCTCCGGGCGGAGTGGCGCCACGGAGCCCTCTCGCAAGCCCTGCGGAGGCGGGGGTGGCCGGCACCGGAGGGCTCCCCGCCTTCAGGAACGTGAGTATCCCCGCCCCTCCCCCTCCCAGGCCCCGGAGTGGCGGGGGCTCAGGAAGCGGGAGGTCAGAGGGCACGTCTCATTTCTGCAGACAGGAAACGGTGTCTGGCCGGCCTGGGAGGGGCTGGCCCAGGTGGCTGGGTGTCTCGGTCCCTCCCGGAGGTCCCTCTGGGTTTTGAGCGTCCTGTGACCGCTTGCTTATTCACTCACCGTTTATTGAGCGCCTGCTGTTTGCTGAGCATGGTGGTCCGTCTGGGATCACATCACAAGCAGAGACAGACCCTGTCCTGACAGCCTGAGGACAGGCTCATAGACCCCGAATCCAGGTGGGGTCCTTCCAGGACAGGAGCTGGCCCAGCGGACCCTCGGGCTGGGCCAGGGGGGTGTCCAACCCAAGTGTGGCCTCTGCAACGTGTGACGGCCTCTCCTTCGACGGCTCTGCTTCTTGGATCCTCCCAATGGCCCATCAGCATCACGTGTCCCTTTCACTGACGGGAACACGGACGTCAGACTCTTCCTGCCATCGAGAGCTTGGCTGCTTAAGATCCTCTGTCTTTTCAGCTCGTCACAGGCTGACCCCCCGGCCCAGAGGACACTGGGCAGGTCCGGGGACGTTTGAGGTGTCAGCTGGAGATGAGGGTTCTGTTGGCATCTAATGGCTAGAAACCAGGGATGCTATTAAACACCCTGCAAAGCCCCCACAACAATTTAGGTGTCTGTCTCTAAATGTCAGTAATGTGAGCGTGGGAAACCCTGCCCTGAGCTGGATTTGCTCATAATAATGGCTTATGGTGGGTCTGTTCAAAGTGCTTTAAAAAATTGTTTAATTTCAGAGAGGAAGGGAGAGGGAGAGATAGATAGAAACATCAATGATGAGAGAGAATAATTGATCTGCTGCCTCCTGCATGCCCCCCACTGGGGACCGAAGCTACAACCCAGGCTTGTGCCCTGACCGGGAATCAATCCCTTGACCTCCTGGTTCATGGGTTAACGCTCAGCCACTGAGCCACACCGGCCGGGCTGTTCTAAGTGCTTTACTTGCTGTTTTATATGGCATCTAATTCTCACACCAATCTTCGGAAGAAGATACTTTAAAAAAAATAAATCTTATTGATTTTTTACAGAGAGGAAGGTAGGATAGAGTTTGAAAAATCGATAAGAGAGAGAGATCGATCAGCTGCCTCTTGCACACCCCCCACCGGGGATGTGCCCGCAACCAAGGTACATGCCCTTGACCAGAATCAAACCTGGGATCTTTCAGTCTGCAGGCCAACACTTTATCCACTGAGCCAAACCGGTTTTAGCTGGAAGAAGATACTTTCGTCATTACCCCCATTTTATAGACGGGGAGACTGAGGCTCAGGGAAGTGAAGGGAATTGCCGAGGCCCACAGCCTGGAGTGACAAGGCTGATCGGAGCTCTGGCGGACAAGTCTCTGGGCCTTGCCCTTCTCAGGAACGGTGTCTGTGCAGCCGGCCGCCCTGTCCTGCCCCCGGGGGGGGGGGGAATCCCTCACTGTTCTTTGAGGTCTGCCTGTGGGTCCCCCCTCCGTTGCATTCCCCTGTGCCTCCTGCGCCCCCCTCCCCCCCCCCCCCCCGCCTCCAGGCTGTGTTACCTCTGAACGTTATGTGCGTTGGGTATTAACATTACCCCCATTTCATAGAGGAGGGAACGGAAGTTTGGAAAGTTTCGGGGGTTGTCTTGTAGCCCAGGAACCGAATTTGGCTCCTCGTTTTGTTTGGCCCGGCAGTGTTACCTAAGCAGCATGTCTCACGGCGCCTGACTAGGCATTCACTCGCTAGTCCCTGCCCCATCTTTCCTTACACCTGCCCGCAGCCTGTGCTGCTCACCCCAGAAAGCAGAGATGTCGGTCACACAGTGCCTGCCTCCAGATGGATGACTGTCCAAGGCTGGTAACAGCTAGATAGACCTCATGGTCTAGAAACTCCTGTTAATCCTTCAAAGCCCAAGCTAATGCCACCTCTTCCCGGAAGCCCTTCGGGATTTTCCCACCTCCAGATAAATACCATTGTTTTGCCTTCCAATGGCAATGAAATCAGAAGCTGCTGCTTCGGGGGGGAAGGGGAAGAATCCAAGATGGCGGCATAGGTAACACCTAACTACAGCCTCACACAACAATTTCAATAAAATACAACTAAAATAAAAAATGGACATTACCCAGAACCACAGGAAAGTTGACTGTCTGGAAATTTTACAATGAGAAGGAAAGAGAAAACCAGAAGGAAAATCAGAGGAGCTGTAAAAGCCTAAGGTAGGGAGACACCGTGTGTGCGGGGAGAGGACGGAGCTGGAGAGGAGGGGTGGCTGAGTTCCTGGCTGGCATTCCCTAGCGGGAAGGAGATAGAAGCTCTGGACTGTGTTAAACCCCAGTTCCGATAGCTCTGAACCCCAGTTCTAGGCCAGACCCTGGAGACCCAGGCTCATACAGAGGGAGCCTGAGCTGTTGGGCAGAATCCCAGGGGAGTGGCGAAAGGCAGAGCCCCCGGAGACACGCACATTGCGTGCAGAGGACAGACCGTTGACTCTGCAGAAGCTGCTCCTCCGTCCTTCTCTTCTCGGAGTTATGGTAGCTCTTCCTGGGCGGCCAGCAGCACCCTAGCCACACGGTGCTCTGCCCAGCGATGGCTCAGAAGCACCTCGGGTGAGGAAGATCAGAGGACGTGGCCGTCATGGCCTGCTGGGCCCTGGCCCCTCTGCACTTCGCAGTCTTTTCCGTAACCCGCACAATTGTCCCCTGTGGTTGGCACTGATGTCCCCATTTAGAGGCAGAGTCCAAGGCCTGAGGAGGGAAGGACACATGTATGAGGTCAGTCCTGGGGTTGGAAGTCAGGCCTGTGAGGCCCCGAAACGGTGGGTTCCCCGATCACTCCTGCAGCAGGACCCCACCGGGGTGTGGCTGGGCGTGCCGGGACCTGCACCTTCTCATCTGCCAGACCCGGGGCCCCAGGCCTACCTGCAGTGACTTGTTCCAGGAAACTGTGGCAGCCCAGGTGTGGTGAGTCACTCTGCACCCCAGCCTGTTGGTCTTGGCTCCAGGAGGGCTTTGTCTAAAGCAGGCAGTGCAGGCGAGCAGCGCACACACACACACACACACACACGCACACGCACACGCACGCGCACACACATGCACACACACACGCACATACACACGCACGCACACACACATGCACACATGTGCACACGCCCGTCAGGGCTGCACCTGCCTCCAGGGTGTGAGCTGAGGGCCTTAGCCTGTGAGGTAGCTCTGGGCATTGTCTCTGTTTCATAGATGGGGGTACTGAGGAACCTGAGGTGCTGATGGGTTGAGTTACCAGCTCAACCGGAGTGGTGGAGCTGGGATTTGAACCTGTGAGGCCTGGACCCAGGCCTGTGCTCTGCACTGCTAGGCTCTGCCAGTCTTTCTGCTCCGACCACCAGAACTGCGGTCTGCTGATGGGGTGCTGGAAGAATGCCCGGATGATTCTCCATTTCTTCCACCTGGGTTTCCCCCAGCCAGGATCTCAGGCTGCCCCAGTCCTCTCCCCTCAGGCGGGCACTGCCTTCCTCCACCCGGCGCACCAGCCCCTCCCCCTGCGGGAGAGAGCGGACTCCAGCTCCTGCACCACCCACCCTCCGAGGGCCCGAGGAGTGGAGGCTGGGGTGGGACAGGGCTCTTGGGCCTAGCCTGGGGCCATGGGGTGCTGGTGAGGGGTCCTGTGGCTGTGGGGTGAGCCACCATTGCTGTCCCCATGGCCTTCCCAGAGTCGGGGGAGCAGTGGGGACCCCCTCATGGGGAGAAAATTGGTCCTTGCTTTTTCTGTCTAGCCCCACCTCCCCTTCTCCCTCTCTCTCCTCCCTCCTATGCAGAGAGGGTGCAGGCAGCAGTCCCCTGAACGCCACCCCAGCACCAGGGACCCGGGGAACAGTACTGGCTGCACCTGGGCTGGCCCCAGGATGCCATGGAGGAGGGGCCTGGGATTGTGGGGATACCATCCCTCCTGCGCTCCCCTAAGCCCAGGCCTTGTGCCTCTGGTTGAGCTGCCGGAGAGGTGTGCCGTCCGTCCACAGACCCTACAAACCCTTCCATGGCTCCCCATTGCCCTTCGAAGAGGTGCCCTGGGCTCGGTGTCCAGGTCAGAAATGTGCATTTCGATGCACATGCATGTGTTTCCATGCTACAGTGTATGTTTCCCATGTTACACTGTGTGTTTCCATGATGTGTTTCCATGGTACCAAGGTCCATATTTCCATGCTGCACTATGGAAAGGAAAAGCTTTTATTATTTTGCATTGATCCTTACATTGTGCCAAGATTTTAACTAAGAATCGCTCCTCTCCTTCACGGAGGCATGCTTTATTAGGGGTGTCGAACTCAATCAGAGAAGGGGCCAAAATCTAAAATCCAGCCTAAATCGCGGGCCAAATGGTTTACTGAACAGTCATAAACTGTCATTGTGATGGAAACGCAGCGGAGTGCAGTGATGACAGCGCGGTGCGGGCCACATTGCAAGGCCTGGTGGGACGGATTTGGCCCGCGGGCCTTGTGTTTGACACATGTGCTTTAGCTGGTGGCCGTGGGCAGGAGGCGGGGCCACTCTAAGCCTCAGGTAGCTTAACTGTCTGTCAGCTGACGTGGGCACGATCATACACTCGCTGGAAAGCAGGTTTGGATTCCATGCAGAGTGAGGGGGCCTCCACGAGAGCCCCGGGAATAAGGAAGAGAAAGCCTCGGAAGTCTCCGGAGGAGGTTCTGCGCCCGGCGGGTCTGGAAGGCCAGCTCTGCTTGTGCAGGACAGGCTGCCGGGAGCACGGGTGGTGCAGGCCAGGCACCGTTCTCAGCAACACCCACAGGCAGGGCTGTTCATCTCCCCGCTTTACAGGTGAGCAAACTAAGGCCAGAGAGGTTCCCCAGGTCACACAGCTGGGCATGAGCATATGAACCCACGTTCTCAGCTGCGTCCCAGACTGCCTGGGAGAGCCACCCTTGAAGCTGCATCTAGTGG